CGGGATGGTGTGTGCAGCCCAGAATAGCAATGGGCTTTCTCAAGGCAAACAGAACTCCCCAGGTGTTAATGCAAATTCACTTGCTTAAGATGAAAGAGGGTTGTTTCCCTCTTCCCTGGTTAATATGAAGGACTTAATAGATTCAGCCTCCGGGAACTGGGGATCTCAGGCTGGGAGCAGAAGGCTGAGAGGAGGGGTTGGAGAGGGATCGGGTGTGTTCCCCTGTGATTTTCAAAGCAGAGCAACTGTCACAGCCAGCCTGGCAGAGGAGGCGGTTCATGCCACCCCATCCTCTGCCCTGACTGACAGGAGCTGGGACTGAGGCAGAGTACTGGGCAAGTTTGAAGTGGCCATGCCAGTCTTCTGTCTTGGGGCCTTTTCCATTAATCAGAATGCTGGCACCCCTAGGGCTCCTGCCCAAGTTGTACCACCCCTGTGGGGTCCTGTGCCAGTCATTCCTTTGTCCCCCAAAGGGGGACACTTGCTTGACAGAGCCTACGGAACCAGCCATTGGAGTTGAAACTTAAGAGGGTCAGAATTCTTGTGCAAACTTGACCTTCTACAGCTAAGACATAGAGTAGAAAGGAGTTACTCAAGGCCGCCCAGCTGAAGCAGAGAGCTAGAGGGACCAGAGCCCTGCCTGCAGCCAACTGAAAGGCTCCTTAGTCAGCCACGGTGCCCATCCTCCCAGATTGCAGACCCTCTACAGTCTAGGCCCTAGCTAAACCACATACTGCAGATCATACAAACTTTTCATGCACTCTTCCCAGAGCATCAGCCTCCACTGAAAGCTACTCAGGACCTCAGGGGGTAAGGATACAGCTGCATCAGGCAATGCCTAGCTCCCATAGCTGTGTGTCAAGGGCTCCAGAAGGACGCCACCTGGGCGCAACTGAGGCTAAAGAGAAACTTAAGAAACTCAGGCAGGGCTGTTGGCTGGAATTTAACTCTGGTAGCTCTGGGTAAATGGCACAGCAGGTACTTGTCACAAGACACCTCCGCAGCCTTTTGCTTTTGTTTACTGACTTAATTCCTTCAGATCAAAGGCTGCCCCTTCCTCCCCAAGCAGGTGGGTGGGAGAATTACATTATTTGTATTGGAAATGGCAAGGCTCTGTGGGGGCTTCTTTCTAAAGCCTGATAAGAGAAAATTAGGTCACTGCACACCCTCCCTGGTGTCTGCTGTTGGGTTCTTCCAACCCAGGTGCCATGGGCAGGGGACAGAGCTGAGCATGGTCCACCCAGTGCCGCTCCCATCCTGAGCCTCCAGTAAATTATTGACTGGAGCAGAGAGTACTAACGAGACACAACACGAACATCCTTCTTGGCAGCCCCAGGCTGGGTTATCTATCATCTCATGGGCTCTGAAGCTGGCACTGGGCAAACATTGAGGACAAACAGGCCAGATGCAGGGTCATTAAGCTCTAGGTGCAGGGGGTGGGATGGGGCCTGCATGGGGCAGTGGGTGGGCCTGGTCCCCCTAGGCTGTGACTTCTTCTGGGTCACCCTTGAAGGATAATCGGCCTGATAAATGAGCGAAGGAACTGACCATCCACCCACCCTGCCTCCCCACTCCAAGAGGGAGATACATCTATTTCAGAACACATGGCCCCTGGCAAAAGACATCTGATTCCTTATTGGCCTTCTTGTAGATCTGGTTCCTTGTCAAACCCCCTATCAGAACACCCCATCTCTCCTGCCCAGATCCCAGGAGAGAGCATGACACCACCCAAGAAGGCACGACCCCCTTTCTGGGACCTGGGCCCATCTATAAACCTCAGAAGTCCCCCAACCCCACAGGAAGGTTGTGTGCCCCTCGTAGCTAATAAAGCTGTCTGCATCTGTTGAGGTCAGATTCCATTTCTACTTCTTTGGCCTTCTCAACCTCTTTTTTGCTTTCTCCTGCCCTCACCCCCAAAAGGAAGTATTCAGAGAAAGCCAGTGCTCTGGAGGGGCCACACGGCTAGACCCCGTGCTTCGTGCTTCGAGCTTTCCAGGCATCATTAAGCCCTACAAAACCCTCTAAAAGCCCCAGAGCCCAAAGGGGAAGCCACTTGCCTTGGCTGGAATGGCTGGAAAGGGGCCAAATAGGTGCTGGACACCAGACTTGTTGGGAGTCGGGGAAGGCTTTATGTCCCTGTGCTAGGACAAGACCTATCTCCAGCTCTCCTGTGGCTGGTGATAAAGAAAAGATTCCAGCTGCAGATGGTGGTGTGAAAACCTGTTATCTCAGCACTTGGTAGATGGAGGTAGGTCTGCTGTGAGCTGGAGGTCAGGCTGGACTACAAAGTGAGACCCTCTTTCAAAAGAAAAAAGCTTGTATGGTAGTGTATGCCTATAAGCCCAGCACTCAGGAGGCAGAGGCAGGAAGCTTACAGTGAATTCTGGATCACCCTGGGATAGAATGGAACCCTGTCTAAAGATAAAAACCAAACAATAAAAATATTCTGTTTCTTCATACTAGCTGTTACTACGGTTCCCTTTTTCTGAGAAACTGGAGGACTTTTTGTTTCCATTTTCATCTATCACTGAATCCCCCAGAGGTGTTACTGTCAACCACCTTGAGATGGGATAGAGGGCCCAGTCCTGGAGTGGGGGCAGTGCAACTAAGCAGCTCAGCAGCTGTAGCTCAGCAGCTCCACTGAGCCGGACAGACGGTAGACTCTTGCTATTCCCACTGCGGAGTTAAAGGAGGCATCTTGATATCTACTCCAAGGCAGCATGCCAGGTGCTATTCTGGGGCCATCACTCTAGTGAGAAATGAGCATCAAGTGGAAACCCGGAGAGGACCCGGCGGGGGTCCTGAGTCAGATAGAGGCCTTGCTGTGCTGATAAACGGTCCCGTAATTTGCTGGAGCCCTGACACCACTGAGAGCCTCTGGAGTTTTCTCCCTGCAAGCCAGCAGTCTCCCTACAGGGCTGGGACTGCGGCCACAGGATCCTGCCATAATGCAGTAATGACAGGCTGCCAGGAAGCCCCACACAGCAGGGAGAGGTGGGGAGGAGAGCCGTTGGCCACTCTCGTGGGAGAGGATGCCTGGGCTGTCTACAGGAAAAAAGGAAGGTGAAGACGGGTGACTTTCTCTTTCCCAGACAGCAGGGATTGGTTTAGACACGGTTGCGGCAATGTTCTCCCCAGTACATTCCCCCCACAGACTCAGGCTGCCAGTTCTTCATTACATGTGGGTGGCTCTTTATCTGATCCTCCACATGAAGGCTTCAGGGGCACACAGCCCTGGGGAACAGCTGCCAAACAATCCCCACTCGTGAAGTCCAAGGTAGAGGAGGAAGCTTTAGTCATGAAGCCAGGATAGATGTGGACCCCATGGGACTAGACTGGGAATGCCAGAAAGAGGCACTGAGGTCCTGCAGCTGCCTGGTGCTTATAGTGTGGGCCAGATCGACTGAAAACACTAGTAGAGCACTCAGCTGATCCGCTCTACCAAGATGCCAGGCAAAGTCACGTCAGGTGTAGTGATGCACGCCTATCATCCCACCACTGGAGAGAGCGAGGCAGAACAGGAAGGCGGAGGCCAGTCTGGGCCAGAGTCTCAAAAACAAAATAAAACTACCAAAATGCCAGGCAAGGTCATCAATTCTAGCTCTACTTAATTAGCGACATTGGAATCTCAGTGTGAGCATCTTCTGAGTGTTGGAGTTGTCTTTAATTAAAAAAAATTTTTTTTATGTGTATGAGTGTATTGCCTGCATGAATTTAAATGCACCTGTGTCATGCAATGCCCCTGGAGGTCAGAAGAGGGTGTCAGACTCCAGTGGAACTGAAGTTATGGAGGGTTGTCAGCCACCATGTGGGTGCTGGGAATCAAACCCGGGTCCTCTGCAACAGCAGCCAGTGCTCTTAACCCCTGAGCCATCTCTCTCCAGTCCAGGGGTTTTCTTTTTAAAAAAAAATTTATGTAAAAATACTGCCTGGACAGCTTTAAATAACCATTATGTACAAAGTGACTGCTTTGTTTTGACTGTGCAGGAAATCAGGCTACTTCTATTAAAAATAAAAATTTAGAGGCAGGTGTGGTGGTGCACACCTTTAATCCCAGTACTCAGGGAGGCAGAGGCAGGTGGATCTCTGTCAGATGGAGGCCAGCCTGATCTATATAGCAAATCCAGGCCAGCTGGGACTACAAGGAGACCCTGTCCCAAAAAGACCAAACAACAAGAAACCAAGAAGAAAAAAACCAAAACCCACAAAAACCAAAACCAATTTGAGAAATAATATTCATCAAATAAAAAAAATCTAGGGCTGGGGTGTAGCTCAATTGGTAGAGTACTTGCCATGAGGCCCTGGGTAAAATCACCAGTACAACATAAACCAAGTATGTTAGCACTCAGCACTCTGGAGGTAGAGACAGAGGATGAATTCAAGGTCATCCTCAGCTCTATAGTAAGATGAAGGATATCCTGAGCTACAGGATCTCAAAAAAAAAAACAAAAAACTGTCTAATAAGTTATATTCAAAGCTAACAAATTACTGCCAAAATGTTTTATAATTCTCTATAGTGTTGTAACATCATTCCGAAATACACAAAGCAGTAATATGTAACTTGGACACTGGGAACATTTTGTATACAGATTCTGAGAAATGCATTGCATTTTAGGTGATTTCATTGTCATGCAGACGTCATAGCATACTTATAGCCACAATGTCACTAGGCCATGGAACTACTGTCCTATATGTGACCTGTTATTAACAATACCATCCCAAGGTAGCATGACTTATGGAGTCTCATGCAAGCTGTAGACAGAACCTGGGCTCCCCAAACACTCTATAGAGCCCTAGAAGGTTCAGTCAGCCCAGAGTCTGAGTTCTCAGGACTGGGGTCAGAGAGAGGAAACAGAGGCACTGGACCCACCCAACAATCCTGGAGTGACCCACAGAAAAAGGAAGAGTCCCTGGGTGAGGGGTGGCTTTACCCCACACCTCTATCTTTTCACTTAATGGTTTGAGTAACAAGCAAATTAAAAACTCCAATGACAGAATACTGCAGCTTAGAATTTTTATTAAAACAATCACTTAAATTACAAGAATCACCCATAAACAGAATACAGCTTCTTGTTCTGGCCCTGATGGAAGGAGTGACACAGGCCTTACAGGAAGAACTGCTCGATATCTTTGAAAACAGAAAGCGTGTCCCTGGAAACCCAGAAGGGCTGGCTTGGCCCCAGGGTAACTAGGAGAGGCTGAATTCCCTACTAAGGCTGCTTAAGCCAGGGGCTTCAAGGCTTTGGTCAAATTGGCAAGGAACATTTAGTCACTGTTGCTGGTTGTCAGTTTCTGATTTTTTTTGGAAAAAGAGAAATCTGACTAAAAGATGACAAAACAGTCACTCAGTAGTGTTATATAATGCCACGGGTATTGTCTAGAAGGCCTGCAGGTACATGAATAATTGTGGGTGACCATAGGTCACAGAGCTGCTGTGGCTGAGAAGCAGCCTCCATCAGGATATATGACCAACCACGGGCCAACATTGAGACCTCAACATCCTGAGATGGGCAGTGACTTGCTGTTTCAGTGTCATGGTGCCTCTGCCTGAGCTACTGATGTGTTAGTAACGAACTAGTCAGGGCCAGTTCCCAGTTCCCTTGAATTTCAGAGACCTCCTTCCTTGCCTTTAAAATTGTTCACCAGGCACAAGTCTCTGAAGATGAGGTACTAGAAATACTCTGGGGGTTCATACTCCCTGTCTAGGGAAAGCTGAGGTGTTCCTGGTTGAGAGTTTCAGCCCCCACCCACCCTTCCAGGCACCAGTTGCACCTGCCATGGCTCAGATGCCAGTGGCTCTCACATGGCCACGGGGCTTGGCATTTCAGACTTCAGAGATACACACAGCAGTTAAATTAAAAAACAAGGCCCGACATCATTTTTATAAACCACCATCATGCTCCTATGCCCCAAAGCCACCGTTAAAGTTTAAATTTACAGACAGGGAAGAAAGAAAGTCCTGGCAGAAATTCAGGATGGATTTCAGGCCTGAAAAGATAGAGCAGAGAACAGAACACTTGGCAAACACCTGGTGCTTTAGTTCCTGAGGACTTTTCCCCAAGCCTTAGGTTCCAGACTACAGTTCCACCCTAGATGCTCAAAGCAGCTGGGATGACACTCAGGAATGGCTACCCAGGGCAAGGTGAACTAAGGGGCAGCCAGTTAGCGGAATCAAGGCAAAGTGCCTCAGTTTCTCAAAACCAGATGGCATTGTGGGGCCTGCCTCTGCTCTCAGATCCCCCCCACCCCCGCAGGCCTCAGCCAATAAGTGTCTTTTCATGGACTGAGGCATTATCACATGTGCTGAATCACACAGCCCAAGTCTTAGAGCTTGAAGGGCACTGGTTGGTCACACTAATCAGAGAAAAGGCCAGAAGGTGACCCAGGGCATGGAGTACATGAGCCACAGAGTATGCTTCTGCTGTCCAGCACAGAGAGTCATGTGCCAACCTGTGTGACCACTGACTGAGTGAACACCCATATCAGGCTCAGAAAAGAAAGGACAAAGGCAAATGGAGAGTTAGGAAGAGCATGCTGGGGTCGGTGGTGGGTGTGATGATTTGGACCAGCAGCAGGGCTCTGGAGCTCTATGCTGCTGGGGCATGTGAGACGTACATATAGAGCCTGGGAACCAGTGGAGGCCCTGGTCACAGCTGGGTTTCCAGGCACTGATGAGAATATGGCTAAGAAGCCCCTGGCCTACCACAGGCAGGAGGCCAAGGCTGAGGGTGGTGAGCACACTGTACCATCAGATTCTTGCATGGCTCCGCTCAACTCCCAGTCCCTCAGCTTGTCACTAGCCCTTCATCACAGCTTCTTCCTCAAATCTCTTCCCAGCCACAACTGCCCTGCCCGCTTCCTGCTATCAGGGAGCCACAGTACTGCCTCAGGGGTGCCTGGCTAAGGACCCATCGTTGCTGGTCTTGAGCTCAGGCAGGCCATGCTTCTGCACTGTGTGAGGTCCTCACTGAGAGGGATGGATGGCCTAGAACCCTGCTGGGGGAGGGGTGTTAGCACCAGCCTTCGGGATCCTGTTAGCCTTCATACTTCACTCCCTATAGCCACTTCCCAGACTGGGTTCTGGAGATCAGCGGTGGGCATTGAGACATTTACACCACAGTGCCTAGGATGCAGAAAGGATGGCATCCCATGCAAGACAACAAATACTTTTCAAAAGACAAAAACAAAAAACAAAAACTGCAGGTCAGGAGAACTAGAACAGTACAAGAGAAATCTCTACAGGGCCATAGTTCAAAGGCAATTGCACATGAAGGGGGCTGGGCCCTCCACTCAGTTGGGGAAAGTTCTGGAGCTCCCATGGGAACACCCAAACAAGCCAGCACCCTAATGGATGGTTCCCACGGCGTCAGGACCACGTTGTCGGTGTTAGTTGTCAGTGTTAGTGCCGGGAGCAGCAGAAGTAGCAGATCCTGGGTTGGCCAGGTCACCTGTTAGAGCTCTTCAAAGAAGGCCACTCGGGACTTGGCACTCTGCAAAGTGAGCTGTAAGAGAGCAGAGAAGAAAATGAAAGGGGCACCAGTTCTACAGTACCATCCATCTTGCTGCAGGGAATGACCTTAAAGGTAGCTCTGAGTGACAGGGGAGTCTGTCAAAATAGATGTTCAAGAACAGATAAGAGTCCAGATTTGCCCCAGGATTCAAATGCAGAGGTAACAAATGAGGACATGCCAGGAAGGATGCTTGGTGGCTAGATGCATGTCAGCAAAAAAAAGTCCATTATGTAGTCTAGTCTGTGAGAGTCACCTCTGTCACGTGCTCTCTGTGGTGATAACCAGTCTCTTAGTCCTCACACCCTAGGGTAAAGCAGCATGGCCTCAGGCAAGGAAGGCCTGTGTCAGATGAGAGGAGTTGGTTCTCTCTGAGCCTAGCTCTGGGTGGCCCCAAAGCAGATTTGCCCAGGGCTAGGAAGCTGAGAGGTGGTTTTTCTCCACAAGCTCTCCCTCCATGCAGAACAGGCTCAAGCAGAACAGGCACACAGGGCAGTGCCTTGTGGGTAAACCCAGGAAGCCTCCTAGGAAGAACTCTGCATTAGAAGGACCTGGCTGGGAAGGTGAAGGGGAGCAGTGGGTTAGGGTCAAGCTCTGGGCATGGCAGATGTGCCTCTCTAAGTCTCTGACTTTGGGGCCACCTCCCATTCTCTCTCCAGACAGAAGCATCTGGCACAGGCACCTGCTTCCTGCTTTTGCTGAAATGGAGCCCTTGAGGCAAGATATATGTCTCCTAAATCCAGGTCTAAGGTTCTTCAGAAAGGGAGGGTGTGTCAACATGTGCATGCTGTCCATCTTCATACTTTAAAATGTTTAACTTAATGGTTGGGTCTGAGTAGGAGCACAGACTATATCTGCAGAGTGGATGGAATTGGATATGGACCACAATGGTAATTAAATGAGTGACATGAGGGAAAGATAAGAGCTCTATATGAGACTGACTCTCCTCCCACTTCAGCTCACTGTGTGGCCTCAGTGAACACCCTTGATGTCTCTGAACCTCATTCCTCTGGAGGTAAACCATGGGGTAGCCTAGTCGGTCTGGTCCTTCCCTGGACTGTGGGCCAGTCTCTGAGCCTGAAGAGTCCTTAGTACTCACTGTAGCTCTACAAAGGGCAGGGGAGGGAAACTCTGAACCCACTTCACCATCAAAAGACAGGCAGCATTAGTGTGCTCAAAACGAGACAGCTTGAGAGCTAACTCTTTAAATCCTGCCAAATCTTTTGGCCTTGAAGTTCCCAACTAACAAGCTGAATGGAGGGAGGCATCTGAGCTGTTTCTTCAGCGGAACCAATTCCAGAAGCTCTATGGAAGCTCAGTTCTGCCAGGAATGGAGAGTTTGTCTTTGCTGAGGCAAACTCCCTCCAGATAGGACTGCATTTGGCTGTGTTTCTCCCTCAGTGCCATCACAAAGGGGCCAGTGGGTGTGTCTGTGACAATGGGGACCAGGATGGTAAAGGGGAAGATAGAGATTAGGTGCCAGAGATCTGGAACAAAAAAATCCTCTTGGGGGAGAAATTGAATCAAAAGGTGTTCCCATACTTTTGAGACAACCCCAGGAGGCCTCTCAGGATGAGGAGTCTACAGTGACAGGACATGCCTGTAGTCACTTCCAGTAAAACATGAACATAGTTGTACCCAAGAACCTGTCTGGTCAAATGACCAGGTCACTTAATACCAATGACCTCAGATTTCCAGTGTTACAAAGGATGACACATATCACTTCTCATATGGTGATATAAAATGTGCTCAGTATCTACCTGGTTTATTTTCCTTCCAGGAAAAGCAGGGAAGAGCAGAGCCCTGGTTAAGATGAGGTCCAGGGCCAGGTGTAGTAAAACACACCTTTAATCCCAGGACTTGGGAGGCAGAGACAGGTGGCTCTCTCTGAGATTGAGGCCAGCCTGGTCTATACAGTAAGTTCCTGGGGCTATAGGGAGACCCTATCTAAAAAGAAATAAAAAGAGTTGAGGTATAGGCAGAGGAAAAGTCAAGCACTGTGCCAGCCCCTGAGCTGGGACAGACACTGCCCTGAGAAGCCCGGCTACTTCCCCAGCAGGATGCCCAGGCTGTGTGGGCCTCTATGAGAGTCTCTTGCCCATCTGCACAATGTTGGCTCCAAGAATTCCTGGATCTACTACCAGAGGAGCATGCTGGCTGTCCCCTCCAGGTACTGGGTAGGGTTTTGGCAGCACCAGATTCCAGGTACTCAAGCATGTGCTTGTCAGGATGCAAAGCTCTTTGAAGGCAGATGCTCCCACCTGAATCCTACAGAGTTGCACTGTATGATGACCTCTTCTCTCATCAGAGCAGGAGTTTGCCCTAGCTCTGAGGACAGTGCAAGCTCAGAGCAAAGTCAATATTGCAATAACATGCAAGAGAGGGTTCAATGGTCTTTCAGAAGGTCCTAAGGCTGCTGAATCCACTGGGTGGGGCAGCTATGAGCCTTCTGTGGCCACTGCCCAATTCACAGAGACCTAATTGCTCCCACCTCAACTTCAATCCTCACAACACAGTTCCTGGCACTTCTAATTTCACTAGGAATCCCAAAGTCCAAGTAATTTATGGCATGTACTTGCTCCCCACTGCTAAAATGCTTCTAGTGATTACTTCTGACTCTTCCCTCAGCAGTGTCCTTTATCTTGAGACATCAAATGCCTTCCTCCTGGCAGGACTGGAGGGCACAGCTCATGTTGGAGAGGAGGCAGGCAGTGACTCAGGGCGTGCAGGGAGAAACCTTGGCTTCTTTTTTGGGTATGAGCTCAGGGTATCTGCTGGGCTCCAGGAGGGTGGTATTCTAGAGCCCAAGAAGCCCATTTTTGGTTACTGAAACCTGGTTCTCCCAACTATGCTCCCATCTGGACACTGAGCAGGCTCTCCTCACCTGTGGGAGCTGTTGCCACCTGCTGTTTCTGACACAGGCAGAGCCCATTCTAGAAAGACTGCTATCACATTTACAGTTACAGGCAGAAGGTGCTCATAAAGGGAAGGCTCAGGCTCAGAGGAAGTAGCACAAAGCTGGCTCTTCATAAATGATTCTTTTCCACTCATGAAATCAGGCAACGAGCTTCCTGTGTTCCCAGTGAGCCTTTCACGTTCTAAGGTACATGAGCCCACAGCACCACCTGAGCCATCTTGTTGCACGGTGATGGGACTGGATCTCTACACAGCATAGCAATACCTCTGCTTGCCAGATTCAGAAAAATGCCATGGAGACGATGCCACCAAGGCTCTAGCCTCACCCCATGTCCCACTGAGAAGTGAACCCACCCAAGTCCCAGTCACCACGAGAATCCAAGCTAGTGTTTATGCTCCCTTTGGTCATGGAGGCATATCCCTTGAATGTAGGGTGCAGACCCTCCACTTATACTGCCAAAGTACCTAGAAGACTGTCAGCAAACAGTGAAGCTGAAAAGTTTAGGACATGGAAATACAACCAGGTTCTGCATCTGATGCCCCTCCTCTGCATCCTGTGGACAAACAGGTAGAGCTCTGCTGAACATGACCAGTGACCACTCTGCTATGCATAGTCCTTCAAAACTCATACTGGATCCAGACAAGGTCAACCACAGGCATCTGGGCAATCAGGCTTTACTCCTTCAGGAAGTCTGGAAACCACAAGGAACCTGCTCAAAGTGTCCAACCCAAAGCATTCTTGCCAGTTCCCTAAAGATGACTAAAAGAACATGCAGCCTCCTCACCAGGCACTAAACTGACCTAGCTGCTCTCTTCCAGCTGTCTCTTCACATCTGATTAGAATCAGCCGTGTGAATAATACAGGAGGAATTAAGTTCTCTCTTGACTGAACCGGCTGTTCAAGTCTGTCACTAATCCAATTCCAATCTGAAGAGACCAACTTCCTTTTCTTTCTCTGCAGCAGATCTATATGGCTTTGTTTTTATCGTATGGGCTTCTCTGATCCACCTACGCAGCAGCCCTGGCTCCTCCTTCCTGCCTCAGCACACACAGACACAGCTCTTGCTGGAAGAGTCACCTTTCCTCCCACTTACTGTTGCACCAAAAGCCCAGTTGTTTGTGACCAGGCTGTGAAGGGGACGGAAAGGGAGCCACATGGCAGAGCGAGGACCCTTCTCCTTCCCAAACTGTGTTATGTGACAAAAATGGACAAATCTAAACAAGTTTAGATTCGGGAGATATATCTGTCTCCTTAAAAAGTCAGTTGGTGTCAGGCACAGCATGCACACCTGTAAAAGAGGTAGAGGGAAGAGCACTATACAGCAAGTTCCAGGAGGCCTGATCGTTCCAGGCCAGTCAGAGCTACATAGCAAGACCCTGTTTCAAAAAGCAAACTAAACAAAACCTAAACCAAAAAAAGAGAGAGAGGAGGCTAAGACAGGCACAGTAACACATGCCTGTAATCTCAACATTCAGGAGGCTGAGACAGGTACTAACTAAAGTAGTAAGTTCAAGGCCAGCCTAGACAGCATAGAGAGACACTGTCTCAAAGTAAACAAACAAAAACCCCAGGAGAATTGGGATTGGGTAGGTGGCTTGTCTAGCATGTTCAAGGCCCCCAGTGTTCACTTCCTGGCACTACAAATAAAATACATTAAAAAAGGAAAAAGACAGGGAAAGGAAAAAAAAAGACTGGCTCCTTCCACCTTAGAAAAAAAAGGACTGCTACCCAGCTGTGACAGGGAGCCTACCAAGATACTCCTGAGATATTGCCCCAGCACTGGGAGACAACAAGCTTGGAAGGTACCTGTGACAAGTGCTCTCTTACTGATGGCCCAGGAGGAAGGCTTGGAACTACTTAGGTTCTTCCACTGCCCCCACAAGAGTGCCTCCTGCTGGAAACCTACTTTAAGAAGGCTGACTGTCAACTCCACCCAGCTCTCCTCTAAAAGTCCTTTTAGGGGACAGTTTCCCAGAGTGACAGGAGGGTAACTAAATGTATTCCAGCATGAAGCCTGCAGTAGCAAGGCTGCCTGATTAAGAATGAATTACACTTTCATCAGCACAGAAAGAAAATT